ATACGCTGATATGTTTGGGTGTCAGGTGGGGAAATTACCTATGAGATACCTGGGTACTCCTGTCACTTATTCCACTGTGAGAAATATAGAGTTGGACTTTTTGGAAGCTAAGATGATTAAAAAACTTGATGCTTGGATTGCATATTCAGCATCATCTGGGGCTAGATTGACTCTGTTAAATTCCAGTCTGGATGGAATCCCATCATATCTTATGTCGATGTTTTTGTTCAACAAAACTTTTATTGACAAAATGGACAAACACCGTAGAAGATTTTTTTTGGAGGAGAAAAAATAAAAAACGTGCTTATCATATGGTGAAATGGGCTAGGGTTTGCCGATCCAAAAATATTGGGGGATTGGGACTCAAGGATCTCCATAAACAAAATATTAGCCTCTTAACAAAATGGTGGTGGAAACTTGAGACTTGTGATGGGCTGTGGCAACGTATTATTCGTGCCAAATACTTTAAAAATAGGACTGTAGCTAACATTCGTGCCGCTTTTCTGATTCTCCTTTCTGGAAGGCAATAATGAAAGTAAAAGAGACGTATATGGCTGGAAGGGTCGTCCAGATCAATAGTGGTAATCTGGCTAGGGTGTGGCACGACCCATGGCTGAATGAAGAACCTTTGCGAGATAAGATGCCTGTCTTATTTAGTATATGTCAAGATCAGGATGAGACTATTGCTGAGTTTGTGGCAAAAGACTATAAACTGGGGTTCAGACGGAGACTGTTTGGAGAGGTTAAGGACCAGTGGGACTGGGTGGTCTCTGAGGCTAAAAAATATACCCTAAACACCTCCCCTGATGTAGTTTCATGGAGCCTTAATAAGAAGAAGAGGTTCTCCACCAAATCAGTTTATGAGTGGCTGGAGAGGGATTTGGCTGGTCCGAATAACAAATGGATTTGGAAATCTAGTATTCCTTTAAAAATTAAAATTTTCTTGTGGCAGTTGTTTCAAAATACTGTGCTTACACGGGATAACTTGCGTAAAAGGGGCTGGCCTGGAAATCCTGCTTGTTCCTTCTGCAATAACATGGAAGATGCTAATCATCTGTTTTTTACATGTTCACTTGCTCGAACAGTATGGGGGTCTTGGGTGTAACAATTGGGGCTTCCTGTTGCCCTCGATCACTGGCAAAGTTGGGCATGGCTTTATAAATTCTTTCCAGGTGAAAAGAAATTCTATATGATGATTATTGTTGCGATTTGCTGGGGGATTTGGTGCCTCCGAAACAAAGTTACTTTTGATAAGTACAATGCTCGTACTCCGCTGGAGGCTGTTTTCAGTGCTTGTTCTTTTATGTTGTACTGGACAGGACTGCTGAAAGAAGGAGACGGGACGAGGCTCCAGGCTGGAGTGAAAAGACTGGCGTTTGCGGCAGCGGCTCTGGCAGACAGGTCGTACACTCAGGGGAGGATGCTGCTGAGGGATGGAGATGAAGTTCAGATTGGCTAGCTTGGTCATCTCGCCAGTTTCGTCGATTCCACTGGGGTTTGATGCCCGTTCTGATGTTTGTCAGAAGTTGATTCGCAGTTGCCTTATGCTCCCTGGGTGGCTGCGAAGTTTCTTTCATATACTTTGCTGTCTAGGTTGTAGTTGCTTGTTATGTGTCGTCAGGTTTTCTCCCCATGGTGGTTGATCCGTTCTAGGGTCTTCCTGTTGTGGGTTTCCTGGCGGTGCTCCAGCTCGCTCTACCCCTTTTAGTCCTATTTGGGTTCTGGTGGTCGTTTTATTTTGGATGTGGTGCCTAGAGACATGTTGAAACCGAACCTATGTATTTCCGTTGATTGCAAAATTAATGGAAAGGGGTGTGAGCCCGGTTGGAAAAAAAACTCTGATCAAGGCCTGTTTGGCTAGTATTCCTGTTTATCTACTGTCCTTCTTTAAATTTCCCAAATGGGCTCTAGATTTAATTAATAACCAGCTTGCTCATTGCTTATGGAGTGATTTTGAAGGAAATAGAAAACTCCATTTGGCCAATTGGCACTTGGTCTGCATGAAAAAAGAGCATGGTGGACTTGGGGTCCCCAATATTAAGGACCTCAATCTATGTCTATTAGGTAGCTGGGTCAAAAGGTATGCCCAAGATGAGGGCAAGATCTGGAAAAAGATCATAGATAATAAATATGTTAGAGACTCACCTAACATCTTTGCATGTAGACCACAGGCTTCCTCAAAATTTTGCCAGGGGGTTATGTGGGCTGCTAAGGCTCTCAAATTTGGCTATAGATGGGTGGTGGGAAATGGGAGGAAAACCAGATTCTAGGAGGATATCTGGTTTGGCACCTCCCCCCTCTCTGTCCAGTTCTGGCCACTCTATGCTATCTGTCATCAACAATGTGTGACAGTTTCAGAAGTTTGGGATGGGGAGATGATCAAACTTACATTTAGGAGGGTTTTTACCTCTTCTATGATGGAAGAGTGGTACCATCTTGAGCAAATTATTAAAGAAACTACCCTCACTGGGGAGGATGATGCTATGATCTGGCAGTATTAATCCAAAGGGGTTTACTCTTCCAGATCACTTTATGCCATCATTAACTTCAGAGGGGTGAAACTTGTCTTCATTCCTTCAGTTTGGTCTATTGTAGTGCCACCCAGAGTTCAGGTCTTTCTCTAGCTGCTAGCTCATAACAAGCTGATGACTAGAGATAATTTGCTTAAAAGAGGGATTGACAAAACCCGAGGATGCCTATTCTGCTCTGAACAAGAAACAATAGATCACCTGTTTTTTGGTTGTGTAGTGGCAAAAAGCATATGGGGGGAGGTCTCCTCTTTTTTCTCTATTGATTTAGGGTCTAGTTATCTTTCTATTGCCAAATTTTGGCCTGCAAACAAAAAACACGAAGTTCTAAATGCCTTTTGCGCCTGTGTACTATGGTGCCTTTGGAAAATTAGAAACAAACATGTTTTTGATAATGCTATTTGGTCTGATATTAAACAGCTCTGGCGGCTGATCTGGAGAACACTCAAGAGATGGATAATTCTGTACTCACAAGATTCGCAGGAGAAAATGCAGAGAATCCTATGGTGGATATCCTGCATCCTCAAAGCTCCCCTGCAACTGGATATGGGATGAAAATGGGATTGGGAGACACTGGAGGTGTCTTGCCAACACATTTCCTCCCCAAACTGGCCTTGGGAATTCGCAAGTGCGGTTTCAAGAGCGCAGACAACTCAAAAGCAAAAAAGTCTCCAGAGAAGGCGTCAACTCAGACAAACTCAAGCCCTGCCTCG